TATCCACTCTTGATATATATGTATATAGTTGTCATAAATGCATTCGTTTTCCCTAAGTGAGTAACTGCGGTAATAGAAGTAGCACTTCATTTACACCCGTTGGCACATTACATTGTTTCATTGATGAGGCGCAGCACAGCACACGCGCTGTACGCAGGCTGGTGGGAGAAAGAGTGTGGGGGCGGCTGCAGGGTATTGTTGACAGAGATAACAACACGCCGGTTGACTGACGCACATGTAGCCAGAGCTAAAAATATATATGAACAGTGTGGTTCCTGTGTAATGCTGCAAAATAGTATTCAATGTATGTAGAGGCGCTACGCAAATATTTTCCAAGATGCCTTTATTCGTCGTGCAGCAGGGGAAATGTTGCGAGGTGCTAAACCATGGATCCCCCCCTCTTGTGCTGTTTTAACATGTATCTAGCAAACTGCTTTTATCTTGTGTGTCACATTAACATGACACGCAACTGCAAAGTATTGTCGACTCTGCTAGTAAGAGAGCTAGGGTATAATCCTTGCCAACGTGTGACATTGATAATTCTTGCAATCTTCAATGTGTCCGGTTAAGTGGAAGGATATTAACAAATTGTAAGGTTATTTGTGAGGAGTATCCCCAGAAGCTCTATACGTGTTGGTGACGGTATGACATACGTGGATGGCCAACATCGCATGTGACAAACGATGCAATATAGTGAAGTAAGTGAACTATAGCTGGCGTTGTATTAGTGGTAAGCACATCAAGAGGTGGGAGCTCAGCTAGTAGTCGCGCGCACCTGATGGAACACTACTTGTAATTATGTTTGCGTTAGCAGAAATAATGTGATAGTGAAAAACTTGTCCTCCGAGCACTTTGTCCGTGACTCACCTTCGTAAACCAGTTCTTTCCGCGTGCCCGTGTGTGTGTGCGCGTGCATAAGCACCCCTGCGCCAGACAAAGTTTCGAGGATTACGGAGTGTCTCACGCATGCATCTGACTGACTGGGTCGCAGCGAAGATGACAGATGTCGTCTGCATGGTGCTGCGTGTTGCGTGATGCTGTACGGACGGATGGTCTACTGCGATACACAACAGAAGATGCATGTAATCTGTCTTTTGTGAGAATATACCTGTGTAGTAGTGAGTGGGTGGCTGGTCAAAGGTCTGATACATTCATTCACCTGTTTGTGGACTTTCGACCCAAGTTAATGAGCTCCAATAACGAAGCGTGTGCAATGTTTTCGTGAAATGTTTTTAATGCAGTGATGTTCTACGGAAAGGTTATTCATTCTTTTTCATGCAGTGTGAGTGTATTGTGAAATGACATGTTTTCATGATGACATGTATTTAGAATATTTCTTGTAATGGATTTGTGTAATTTTGTGTTAATTTTGTGTAAACGGAATGTTTTCCGATGTATGATGGCTGTCGAATGCTTGTGTGCTTAGTTTGCATTCAGAAAATTTCAGATAAGACTTACTAACTAATATATGATCGTACTGTTTGAATTTTAATTATAATAATTTCTATTATGGTAAACTGTTATATCGACAAGAGAGTATCTTTTGCTCTTTTATTCTTAGTGAGTGTGTAGCATGTATTCCTAATCTGCACGCAGAAAGTTTTTCGGAAAGATTTTTAAAGCTAAGCATTCAGGGCAATGACTTTGTCATAGCTGCCAAATGAGATTATAGTAGGGATTATATAACAAGGAATCTGATCTCCAATTGTCATTGACTGAGACCTTTTAACACGTGTTGTAAATCATGTATTTTCTACAATCTGATTACTTAATTGTTACTTTTCATCAATTCTGTTTTAACACATTTCCTCGCCACTGGTAGACCATAGTTGAATATCATTATATAGTTGAGTTGGGTACCCTTTATTTAGTCATTAGGTCATCGCACAGTACCACCAGTAGCACAGTTGCGTTCGTTCTATTAGCGTGTCTCTAATTTTCTAGGAAACGGTGTAGGAGAAGTCTAGTTGTCCCTACTTGTTTCAAATGTCAGCTTAATTAAATACGTAGGATTTCATCGCCAACTAAAAACTAGTGCAAGCTGCGCACATATTTGCCCAATTTGTATATTTCCACACTGTGCGTGGGCACCGGTATTCTCATCCTACTACTTCATCTTCTCTTCATCGTTTTGAGTACTCGTCCTTTTCTCATTGAGGAGCTCTGTATATTCGGAAGTTTTTCGTTTCGAGTACTCGTCCTTTTATTCTCGATCGTCGAGCTGTCGAACCGGAAATTTTTCGTTTTGAATCCTTGTCTTGTCCCGCGTTTCTTGTGTAATTGGAAATTTCTTCTTTCCGTCCTCTGCAGAAAGCACAGAGGCTGGTGTGCCCATCCTACTTCTTCCTCTACTCTCCTTTCTTTCGAATACTGGTCTCCTCGTCTTGTCCCGCATCTCTGTATAATGGGGGTCTCCTTTTTTCATTTCTTCTCTCCGTCCTCTGCAGAAAGCACAGAGGCTGGTATCCCCATTTAGAAGTTTCGAATACTCATCCTCGTCTTTTCCCACGTCTCTATATATAATCGGGACTTAATTCGGGAATTTTTCTCCGTCCTCTGCAGAAAGCACAGAGGCTGGTGTCAATGGCCGCCTTCAAGGAGCCGAGCCGGCCATGCACGGGCATCCCCAAGCCGCTGCGCATCAAGCTAGAGCCGGAGACGGAGCAGTGCGTGCCGACCGAGCCACGCTCCGCAATGCAGAAGGTTCCCTCCATCAGCGATCTTACAGACGACTCCTCGATACACGGTGAGTGCAGAGAGGAGGAGGGGAGTGGAGGGGAAGCAGGAGGGGAGAGCAGGAGGGGAGTGGAGGGGGAGGAGAAATGGAGAGCAGGAGGGGAGTGGAGGGGGAGGAGAAATGGAGAGCAGGAGGGGAGTGGAGGGGGAGGAGAAATGGTGAGCAGGAGGGGAGTGGAGGGGGAGGAGAGGAGGAAGGGTGAGGAGAGGAGGAGGGGGAAGGGAGTGAAGGGGGAGAGGGAAAGGAAGAGAAGGAGGAGGAGGAGGAGAACGGATAGGAGAATGAGGAGAGCAGGTTTGAGCCGGAGACGGAGCAGTGCGTGCCGACCGAGCCACGCTCCGCGATGCAGAATTAAGGTTCCCTCCATCAGCGATCTCACCGACGACTCCTCGATACACGGGGAGTGCAGAGAGGAGGAGGAGTAGAGGAGAAGAGGAGGATGAGGGGAGAGGAGGAGGAAAGGAGGAGGATAGGAAGAGAAGGGGAGTGGAGGAGGAGAGGAGGAGGATAGGGAGGAGGCGGGGAGGAGAGGGGGTGGAGTGACATAGTGCATCTTCTGCGTGTTCCTTGTCTTGGCTTCTGTGAGAGCAGAGGAAAGGAAAGTAGGGAAAGGGAGGCGAAGGCAATTGATAAAGAGGAAAAGAGAAGCGAGGTGACGGGAATTGAGGGAGAGGAAAAGATAAGAAGAGAAGTGAAGTGACAGAAGGAAAGGAGAGTGGTGGACTATGTGCGTGTTCCCTTCTTGCCTCCCACAGCAGCTGTCAAACAGCAAGCTTCACATGTGGCTGCTGAGGTCAGACGCTTCGTACACTGCTGCTGCTACTGCTGCTGCTACTACTGCTGCTGCTGATGGTGGTGGTGGTACTGCTGCTGCTGCTGATGATGATGGTGGTGGTGGTGGTGTTGCTGCTGCTGCTGCTACTGCTGCTACTGTGGCTACTGCTGTTGCTACTACCGTTGTTGTTGTTGTTGTTGTTGCTGCTGATGTTGTTACTGCTGTTGCTGTTGATGTTGTTGTGGCTACTGCTGCTACTACTACTACTGCTGCTGGTGGTGGTGGTACTGCTACTACATACTGTTGCTACTAATACTATTACTGCTACTCCTGCTGCTGCTGCTACTGCTATTCCTGCTGCTGCTGCTGCTACTCCTGCTGCTGCTGCTACTGCTATTCCTGCTGCTGCTGCTGCTGCTGTGCAACGGGGAACTAAGTCTGATGGAGTTTGGCATTAAGAAATTATACAACGTGATGTAATTGTAATCTGATGTTTTTGTCATCGTCCTGTTGCGTGACAGAGAGCGAGATTAGTAATACGTAATGCCTGACTCTGTTCACCATAATGCTGTACTGCTGTAGTAAATGCTCGGGTGTTGTCCCTATACGTGTATATTTTGCTTGCGTGACGTTGCTCATGTAAGTCTTTAACGAATTTTTGCTGGGCGCAGAGAGTTCTAAAACGTTACTAAGTCATAGAAAACTAGGCAGCCGATGTCAATAGGTAATGCACTCTGTTGTAAAGGAAGATACGATATATAGATGACTGCCGCATAAACGACAAGTGAAATAGGATCACCGATATACTTCAACGTGAAATGCTCTAACTTCTCCGTTTGATCCTAGCTATCAAGCTCAGATAACACTGTTAGAACCATAGAAATATATAGAGACACTATCTATATATATATATATATATATATAGTCTAACTAGTATAATTTCCATGGTTAGAACACATCTTCCCCTTTACGCTAGTGTTAGTTCTATAAACGTGTGCGTATGCAGGGTTTCTTCTGAGGGAAAATTAGACAAAGGAGGTAATGGCCAGTTTGGGAAAAAAATGCGCATGATGGATTCAAATACAGGATGTATTGATATACTTATAGGTATATAGATACAGGATATACTTATCAGTAAATACAGGAACATTTTCACAACGGCGATGTTAAATTTGACAACGGCAGTGCGCCACTGTGCCTCTTATGTATAAGAAACACTGGTATGCGTACACGATGTGAATGACACGGTGTGTGAGTAAGTCGCGTGTACCTTATGTAGAGCGACTTCCCTATAAGGAGCTTCTTCCTGAACGCTTCTTCTTTGTTCTGGATAGTCGGGACCTCGCCAAATCTCTACCCTACTGCAAGTAACCGTGGTTACATTGGTGTGTGTATGTGTGTGTGGTGGATACACCGTGGCACGCGTATAGGCATGCACGCGTACGTACATCCGTCCGGTCGGTCGTGGCCAACACGTTGCCTTCTCAGAATTTCCACGACCGTATCAATACCGGTAACAGTTTCCTTCCTCTGAGGAAGTAGTCCAGCGAGAAGACAGTAACTGCTACAGGTGGACAGATGAATAAAATGGGTGGGGGGGCAAAGTGAAAGATGAGACGTGATTATTCTGGGGCAGGACATGTTCGTGTATTTAGTACTATACTGATATTATATACTACTATATTGTAACTAGCATATAGCGCAAAAGACTACTAACAGATGCGTGTTAGAGATCATATTTTTCTATTGGAGTGTATGCACATTCGTCACTCGAATCACTAACACGTCTTGTCTGGAATGAACCAGATCCACATAGTGTTGCAGGAAAACTTGAGACACTCCAGAAAGGCACATGATAATTTACGTATATACACACACGCGCGCGCGTAGTGGACAAGTCCACCCACGCACTATGTACCCTCCTGGGCAAACACGAGTTTGCCTGGATACATACAGGTCAACCCATGCTGAAACACTTGTTGTCAGTGGTGGACAATGGTGACAAGTACCCGTCTTCAGCCAAGCATAGACTAGGAACTACATAATAAACAGCTTAGCACAATGACAATGCTGGCTGGGCAGGCATGTAGTATCTGCCATTGTTGTCACTTCCTCTCAGGGCCGTCTTGGCGGCACAGTTCTAAATGCACCTCTTTCTATTCTATGATAACACTTGCCAGGGTAGTAGCGAGAGGCAGGCCGTGGTCAGCAAACATTTCCCGTCTGCAGGTGCTTATCCACCTGAATAGGTTAGCAATACCCTCCGAATACATTAGCATGCAGTGATTTTTCTCACCCGTTCGTCTCGTGGGGTGAGGGGGAGGGAACGACGTTGGATGTGCCCCGTGGGAGAGCCAACCTTACTCTACGCGCTGAAGCCAATGTCGTTTATATAATAAATATTAATTACGGTTCGTTAGCATTACGTCCGTGTAACACGGGTGGGTGATATACCTAGTACATCAGACCTTATATGGAGTGGAGAGGCGTACATGGGTTTTATGTGAGTGACGTAGGCTCTTCTTCTTACGTGGCTGATTCAGGTGCCGCGCGGTGTCCGATGATTCTGTAGAAAACTACGGCAGTTTAAGTGAAAAAAACACACTCCTTAGTTAAGTTAGCGTGGGTTGGTTCTTCGTCCTGCTGTAAATTGCTCTCGTGTGCCTGCATGTCGTCATTGGTAGTTGGATCATTTGGAGGGTGGGAGGGGGGAGGCGGTCGTGATTCATTGTGGCTCGCGAGCACCGTACAATACACACACGCACGCACACACACACACACACACACACACACACACACACACACACACACACGGGTCCTGTTCCGCCTTCACGCGCTGTTGCCGTTAACGGCAAAACTGTTCAAGTTAGAAACATAAATTCCTTCGCTTGTCGGAAATTCTGCGTTTGTGTGGGTTTGCGTGGCGTGTGTCATGGCCGGTCATTTATATCGGCGTGTCGGGCTTTGTTTAATCTCGTGCGTGTGCGTTTTATGCGATCGCCTTTGCTGTACGTATCTATCTCCCTCGAAAGCAGTTCGAGATCAATGGGGCGGGGGTGCACGGGAGGGCAGGATACGAACAAATAATTACACGTTTGTCGCAGACTGATTCCCAAGTCGCGTCGCTTCCGTCAGGTTAATTGTCAACGACTTACGGAGTCGTCAGTCTAAACTCTATACGTCTGCCGGACAATCTTGTATACATATTCTATATTTATGTATATACGTATGCGGCCGCTTGCAATGCGCAGGTAATGTACACAGGTGTGTCATGCTGGACACGTGGTCATACAGGTATGATAACAATATGTCGATGTGTTTGCAGCCACCTAGTTTATTTGGCGGAGGTGTGTGGGGGGGGGGTGAGGGTCGCGGAGCGGGTGGATAAATGTTGGCACGAGAAATAAAGGGCATAGAATTTTTATACCTACGCAGTATTCTCGAATAGTGCATGGGGATGTTAGTAGAATCGGTGGCGAGAGAGAGAGGGGGAGAGCGGGAGATAGAGAGAAAGAGAAGAGAGAGAGGGAGGAGGGGAGATGATAGCGGAGAGAGGAGAAGGAGAGAGAGAGGAGGAGAGAGAGGAGCGGCCGGAGGCGGGGAGGAGAGCGAAGAGAGTGAGTAAGAAATGAAAGAGAGAGAGAGAAAGAGAGCGCGAGAGAGCGAGAGAGCGCGAGAGCGCGAGAGAGAGAGATAAAGAAATGAAGGAGAGAGAGAGAAGAGAGAGAGAGACACACAGAGAGACACAGACAGAGACGATTTGAGAGCAGTGAGAGAGAGCGAGAGAGAGAGAGATAAGAAATGAAGGAGAGAGAGAGAGAGAGAGAGAGCGAGAGAGAGCGACGAGAGCGCGAGCGCGAATGAGAATCTTACAGGCGCAGCGGCCGCGCGCATACCACGTAAAGAGTAAAAAAGACATGTGCCCGCCACTCGCATTCAGCGGCTTCACGCAGAAATGTCTTGATCGGCGTGCCAAGATAGAAGGTGGCTGTTTGAACAGCGTGTCAGGCGGGGGTGGGGAGAGGGGGTGGTGGGGGTGGTGGCGTGTACATGTGCACGTACAAGCTGTTATTGCTTAGCTGGACGCCGCAGACGACTGTTTTCTTACGATCATACTCACAAGTGCTCGTCGTCGAATCTGTATTAACAACATGTCGTCGTGCGAGCGCGTTTCGGTGTTGTGTGGCACGTTTGCCGACTCAGAACGCATGAATGGTTCCCGCGAGCTGAAAAG